GGACTGTCACTTGCCTAATCGGGTCAGTGTTGCATCATCACAAAAGTTTATAATTTGCACGTCTTTTTAAGTCTTTTTAAACCATTCGGTACTGGCGCGCTCCAAACTAGTTTTCTAGGCGTTCACGGTCATTAACCTCAAGCCCAGGGGCCCCCGGCCCCGTAAGTCCTGCCCTGTCTCCATAGAATCCCTCCACCTGAGTCGCTGAGGACACTCTGGATAAATTTCATTTTGAAAGGAAATGTCCCAGAAAAAATCGGTAAAGTTCTATATGTTTGTGCCAATCATTTCACGCCGGATTGCCTCACAAATGAGGGTCAGTACAATGCTGGATTTTCGCAACGGTTGATTCTGAAAGAGGGATCAATACCAACGCTTCGTGCGCGAACGTCAGCTCCAGACAAAGTAAGTATCATGCTCATATTTTGTTTTCCAAATTTGCCTTTCTAAAAGAGCCTCTTGGCACTCTGTAAGGCTAATGTTGCTAAAGCTACCATTGTCTCTGCCTGTTTTCACTGATGCTTCCTTCAAGTGCTACCAAAATGATCGTAAATGCGGTGGTTAAAAAGTACATATGAAACAACATATAAGACTGAACACCACTTCTTCTTCTTCTGGCGGGTGGCATCTAACCTTTAAGGGGCATATCCGCCACCTACTGTACTGGAGTGTGGGCCAGAAATGGATATTACTAAAAACAAACAACAACTTATAGTTATGATAGCTACTAATAGTTAAATTATCTTCATTAAACCAGTTTCTTTCAAAAATTAAACAAAACTTTATTTATCTGTTCTCCAACTTTAAATAAATTCTTAAGATTTAATATTTTCACTCCATATTTCTTTAATTCATCTTTTTTACCTTTGTGTTTCATATTTGACACATTGACTAATCACATGCTCTGCTGATTCCTCTTCCTTTCCACAATCACACATCCCTGATGGATGTTTTTTTCAATAAATGCATTGTTTTATTTAACCCAGTATGCCCCAATCTTAACCTTGAAATAATGATATGTTCTCTTGTATTTCTTCCTAACTTTAATTGTCCCTACTTGTTGTCTAATATTGTATAAATGACATATTTTATTCCCTTCATCCCATTGTTTTTGCCAGGCCTTCATAATATAAGACCTTATTTTTGCTTTACTTTCAGCCTTACTAAATGATATTTCCATAATTCTGTCTTGCTTCAGACCTTGCTTAGCCAAAGTGTCTGCAGCCTCATTCACTGAACACCAAGCTCCGCCCTCTTCTAAAAAGGGGGCAGGGAGCATCAGCATATTTGCATTTAAAGGGACAAAATCGGTGCATTTTGGCATATACCCCTAAAAGTGGCAATTTTAACGAGCTATAAAAATGATCTGTGGGGTATTTTGCGCTAAATTTTCACATACACACTCTGGACATCAGAGACTTATTTTACATCTTGTAAAAAGGGACATAATAGGCCACCTTTAAGATTTCTGTGAAATAGTTCATTTGTCTAAAAGACATTACTTTATGAAAAGGCTTTGTGTTGGGAATGAAGAGTGGTGTTAACAGCCCCACTGAATAGAGTAGCTTATTATCATTTAAAAAGACATGCACCTAAACGGTTGCTGTGAACAGAGCTGTTTAACAAGTTAAAAGGGTGTTGTTTAC